TGTCTAGTCCCCATGAGGAATGTCTTGATGTATTTGTGCATTGACAGACCTCTGAGCCTCCAATGCCCAAGGCAGGAATTCGAGGCTGCCACCTATCATTTTAGGGCGTTAGGTTTGAGAACTCTCTTCTAACCTTCAAACAAGAAGGTGAGCATATTCCTGTATGTTGACTATAGGGGATCCAGATCTCTATCAGTGGCCCACATTCTAAACGTCAGCCACGTGTGGTTAAAAATACGTCTGGTTGTCAGCCTTCAAGACTGTAGCATGACTTCCACCACCTCTCTAGGAAGTCCCTGCACCTCTAACTCCTTCCTTGCAATCTCCATACTGTCAACTACAACCACATCGGATCTGAGTAATGTATAGGCCCCTGGTGTAGGAGGTCTGACCTGTACGGGAGAGTCCATGGAGACCTGGTTGGTAGTTGCACCAGGTCTGAGAACCAGGGCCTCCTTGGCCAGTATGGGGCCACAAAAATGATCTCTGCCCCTTCTTTCCTGATCCTGTTGAGCATTTTGCCAATTAAGGGCAATGGGGGAAAGACATAAAGTAGACCTGCCAGCCATGGGTGGGATAGTGTGTCAGGGACTCCATTTGGAACTTTCATTTTTTGACCCATCTTAGGTTCAGCACTGCTCTCCAGTCCCCGGATTTCTTTGGGACCACAAAACAGGATGGAGTATACCCCCTTGAACTAGTGATTCACTGGCACTTTCTCTGTTGCTCCTATGTCCTGCAGGTGCTGAATTGCCTGTGCTAGCTTGAGCTGTCTGTCCTGCCATCTTGGTATTGGTGAGGGTGTGAAGCTTTGAGGGGGAAGTGATATAAGCTCTGTCTTCTAACTGTGTGCAATGATCGACAATACCCATTTGTCCTGTGAAGAACTGGAGCTGTCCCCCTATCCTGTAGTCACGCGGACTGCTTCTTGGCTGGGGTGTTCTTATCCTGTTTGAAGCCTGAGGGGTGTCTTGCATTGGCTCTGGTTTTGTATGCAAAGGATCGGAATCCCTTGTAGTCCTTTAGTCTCCCTTCCTCTGCCAGATGTCCTGAATTCACAAAAGAACTGGTGTGCCCTGTTCTTAGCACTTCAATCCCTGCTATTAAAAAAATGGTGGCATGGCCCTCTTCTTTTCCTTTGTCACCACCAGAACCTTGTCCAGGTTCAGTTTGCCAAAGAGAAGCCTGCCCATGAACTTCTCCATAGATAAGTTGCTCTTTGACAGGGTGTCCACCCTCTAGTGCTTGAGTCCAACATTCTTTCGTATGATGATGCCTACTGCCTGCACTCTTGTTGTCCTGTGAGGTATCCAAGGCAAACTCTGCCACTCTCTTCATCTTTAATAATGATCTTTTTAGCTCTAATGGGCTGGCTTCCGGATTTTGAAGAAGAGCATCAACCCTGATCATATTGCCCTTGTAAAGTTCAAGAGGACCACTAAAGCCCAAGTGATTGCTTCGTGAACTTTCTTTAGAGCTGCCTCATTCTTCCTGTCCATGGAATCCTTCAAGGTGTTCTTGCCATCTTTGGGTAGTATAGCTCCCGAGTGAAGTGCCACTACTGGTGCATCTACTAGGGGTACCGTCATGTCCTCCATGGTTCCCTCTGGTAGTACATAGAACTTCTTAGCCAAGTAGAGCAGCAGAGAATTTCCGCCCTCAAGAAGGGCCCATTTGGCCTTCATGACATTGACAAAACAGTCCAGACAGGGGGATACTGTTTGTACTCTGGGCAGATCCTTGAAGCCCCTCCTGTCCAGTTTAGCTGAGGCTGCTGACCTTGGCTTCTGTGGTACTTCTGCTTGGTAATTTAGCATGGTAATCACCTTGCTCAGCAATCTTTGGAAATGCTCAGCTTAAAAGAGTCTGGAGGATGTTGCCTGTGCCTCAGCCTCTTCCCCGGACCATTCCCCATCCTCCTCTATGGATGTAATCAAGAATGCTGCCTCCCACAATTCTGACCCTGGTGAAGGTGGGCGCTCCCTGGTGCCTTCCTGCTTGCTGCTTCTGTTGGAGCTGGTCTCCTTCACTCCCAGGGCCTCCACAGCCTCTGACTGTCCCTGTGTCTCTGAAGGCCTGGCACGCTTGTGGGGGGAAGGCAAGCCTGATGATGCTGGAGAAAGGTTGGGGGGACTTGCTCTCTCTCCTTCCTTCCTGCCCGGTAACCATCCTTTACGGGGGGCCCTCAAAAGTTCAGCCTGGTCAGGTGTTGATTGGGTACTGGCCCCCCTTGCCTGATGAAGGCTGCACCCAATGGTGGTGGAAATGCCCATGGTCCCCCTAGGATGGGCCATAACCAGCCTGGGCCTGACTGAAACTGCAGAACTACGTAGGGGGTGTGGTGTCACACCCGGGTCAACTCGCGAGTAGATGGGCAGTCCAGGGTCTACTTGCAAGGAGGCCACCAGATTTGGGACCATCTGCAGGGCACCCAATGGTGGTGGAAATGCCCATGGCCCATGGCCCCCCAAGGATGGGCCATAACCAGCCTGGGCCTGACTGAAACTGCAGAACTACGTAGGGGGCCTGGTGTCACATCCGGGTCAACTCGTGAGTAGATGGGCAGTCCACGGTCTACTTGCAAGGAGACCACCAGATTTGGGACCATCTGCAAGCCTGGGAACCCTTGTGAATGGTGGCCTGCCTGCCCCCAGGAAAAGGGTATTCCTCCCTCAGACCAGGGTTTGCCCTTGGATATGGGGCCATCACTCCCCTGGGGCCCCCTCGTGCGCTGGATTTGCCTCACTGCCAGGGCTTGCTGACCCAGTAAGTCTCTCACACCATTCCTGTCTCCTTCTTTTGGAGGGCTTAGACGACCTTTTCTTCACCACCTTCTTTGTGACCAGGTGCGTGAGGGAGTGGTAGGCTGAAGCCTTGGACAGCTCAACCCACACAGCAGCTCCAATCATCTCCAAACTGAGCAGCCACGGCCTCAACGATGCTTCCTCCCTACCTCCCGGAGCTTTAGAAGCTTAAGAGGTTGTTCTTCCTGGTCCTGAGGGAGTGGTAGGCTGAAGCCTTGGACTGCTCAACCCACACAGCAGCTCCAATCACCTCCAAACTGAGCAGCCATGGCCTCAACGATGCTTCCTCCCTACCTCCTGAAGCTTTAGAAGCTTAAGAGGTTGTTCTTCCTGGTCCTGCCAAGTGATCATGTGGCTGTGTGCCACTGCCATCCTGCTTCCCCAAGCCTTGTGTGGGGGTGCTCTTCTCCACCTTTGTTCCTTTGTGCCTCGTGGTTTCAGGCTTCTTCACTTTCTCTGTTGCTGCCACCTGCAGCAGTCTCCTCCGGGGTCATCACATTGTCCATTGAAGCTTGTTGCTGCTAATCTCTTTCCAGGAATCTTCCTAAAAGCTGGGTTAAGATAGCTTAGATTTTTTAAAAAATATATTTTTTGTATTTGGCTTGGAGTGGAGCTCAAAACATGGAGTGGCAGGGCTGTCCAAAACTGGAGGGTCAGCCTAGATCTCTCCAATAGGAGCCACGCAAAAATTTGCATAGCCTTATCAGAGTGAGCAGAAGCGTGACCTGACCAGTTCTGGATGACTTTGCCCCCACTGAAGTAGAAATGGTTATTATTCTCTTGTCTGTTTGTCTCCATAAATGGGAAACCATCCTCTCTCTGGCTGAAACCAGATTTTATGGCTTCGTTCCTAGTTAACATGTGATTTATCTGTCCCCAGGGCCTCATCTGTGGTAATCAGGACATCCTGTGTTTCTTCATCACAACGGCTCCCTTCCTCACCAAATTTATTTATTTATCTACAGAATTTGTATCCCATCTCTCTGCCCTCATAAGGGCCACCGAGCTGGCTAACAATTTAAGCATACATGGTAAAATCACATAACCATTAAAACCAATCCCCCCAACACACATAATTAAAACAATTAAAAACAGAGTTAAAATACATACAAGATATAAAACAGCAATTAACATATTGGTTAGGAAGGAAGGATCACTGCGGGTATACCAAACTATAAACAGTCTTCACTCTCTGGTGGGAGATGGCAACAGGAGGGGACAGACAAACCTCCCAGAGGAGTTCTAGAGCTCTGCTTATAGTGCCTTTTGGTTCGTGAAAACAGTTTTTTTAGGTTTATTATACTGTTTTATTGCTTTGCTGTGCCTTGAGTATCAGTGAAAAAAGCCAGCCAGAGATTAAATAAACACAAAAAAGTGCAAAATATTTTTCAGAGACTACAGTGGTATAAAAGAAGTGTGTCCCAGACAACAATGCTTGCTCCTTTCCACCTTTAACTCTCCTAAAAATTTTGGTTTCTCTAGCCAAGATCTTGTTTTAACTGCTAGCAGGATACTGTGCAGGTTGGCCCAGATTTGTACTTGGATGGGCGACAACCAAGGAAGTCCAGGCAAACCACCTCTGAATGTCCCTTGCCTTGAAAACCCTACAGGGTCACCATAAGTTGGCTGCAACTTGATGTTGCATTCCACCACCATGATACTGTGCAACTGGTACACATGCATATATGGAAATTCAGGACATAACTACTGGACTACACTCTTGCAACAATCCCCGCTGGCTAACAGTGAGTATCTGTGAAGACTAATCAGTGATGTATCCACTTCCAAGTTGGAGTGAAGATATCAGGGAAACGAGCCCCAACGGGCGGGGAAAGGTCAAAGGGCTAAAAATAAATATGGTTAAAGAGTAATATAGCACAGCAATTACATCAAAATAGCACAGTAACGGAGATGTTACATCTGAGTCTAAGAATGTGTGCCGCACAAAGCCCACTGCCCCTCTAAGAAGCAACGCTGTCAAAATGACATATTCTTATACTTCAGAATGGTACACAGAGAAGCAGTGAGAGCAATACTTTGACTGGCTTCAATGGTAGAAAATATGCCTTCATCATTTATTTCTTGTTAGCAGTAATGGGGGGGGGCCCCACTGGCAAAACTCAAACATATTGATAAGCCTAGGGAAGATTTTAGATTACAACATAAAACAACCATCTGTCAACTGAGAATTCTCACCTTTCCAGAGTCTCAAGTGCTTTCCGGTGCAACTCATCTTGCGTGCTTTTCAGGGTAGCTGTGACAGAAGACACAAACATGCAGTCTTGAATCCACTGCAAACAGCTGGAACTTACAGTAGAGTATTACATTTTTAGAAGGTATTTTAGGGGAAATAATAATTTGCGAAAACCAGGATTTTCCTAATGATTTCTACCATCAAAGCTCTTTAAAAACAAAACACATGTACCTTTTTTTCTAGGGTCTGTAATCACTAATTTTAAGGGGATTTAACAGATCCATGGAGGAGAGGTCCATTAATGGCTACTAGCCATGGTGAATAAAGGGAACCTCTGTGTTCAGAGGTAGTAAACCCAGGGCTTCTTTTTCTGGGGGACCACGCCGGAACAGAGTTCCAGAATCTCTTTAAAAGAATTCTTTTAAAAATGTTTAAAAGTTCATGAGTTTCCGGTATACAGATTGAAAAATTCATTTCCCTCTTGAGAGTTCGAGCACCTCTTTTTTTAAAAAAACAACAACCCCAAAACAAACAAACCCCGAGTAAACCTATGAATACTAGTGCTAGTATGCAACATCAGGGGAAGGCACTGGACTCTATGCCTTGTTAGCTGGCTTTCCAGGGCAACTGGTTGGCCACTGTGTGAAACAGGATACTGGATTAAATGGACCACAGGTCTGATCCAGCAATGCTCTTCTTAAATTCCGCAAGGCCAGACATTTGAACCTACTCCTTTCTTGTACAGAATATTCAAATTAACTCCAGTCTAGAAACACAGCATCAGCATCCCTTAGAGATTCTATCTATAACATTGTTATCCTGCCCTTCATCCAAGGAGTTCCACTTTACTCTTACAACACCTCTGTGAGGTTGACTGAGCTGAGAGAGAATAACTGACCCAAGGGTACCCAGTGAGCTTCATGGCCAAAGTAGAATTTAAATCTAGGTCTCCCTGGTATTAGTCCAAATTAGTCTGACAGCTGCACGATACTGCACTACTGTCGGTTTAGAATGGTCCTTCCTTAAGAACATTCCTGAATTTTGAGATCTTCAGATGGGCCTTTGTGCTTTGTCAGATTAGACTGACATCTCACAGTAACAGGGCCTTCTCCACCGTAAGAAAAGCCCTGCTAGATCAGACTAGAAGTCTGTCTAGTTCAGCATCCTAGCATCCTGGTTTTCACAGTGGCCAGCCAGATGTTTCTGGGGAAGCCCAAAAGCATGCAGCCATGGTAAGAAACTTGTCCTCCACCACCATGTATTCAATGGCATGCTGCCTCTGACTTGAAGGCTTTGTTTAGTTATTGTGGTGAAACAGCTATTGATAGATTCATCCTACATAAATATGCATTGGCCTTTTGCAGAATTCTCTCTCTCTGAGAAAGCACGTGAGACTAATTTTAGAAAACAATGAGAGACTTTTTTTTTTCAAAATAGAGCTTTATGCCACCACTACCCAGTTTTGGTGTTGAGGCCTGATTGCACCCGGATGCATTAGACCTGGGTCAAGTGGTCCAACAAACCTCTGGCTTGTAAAGGAGAAAGGCAAACACTGAAGGGGGGGAAACAACCCCACAATTCAATCATGCCAGTTGGATGAGAAAAGCCTGAAGAAGCACAAGACAATGCCTCACCCCAAAAAAACGGCAGTGAGAAAAGTAAAAGGTAAAGGTTCCCTTGCTTGAAAGCCAGTCGAATCTGACTCTAGGGTTGCGGTGCTCATCTCAGTTTCAAAGCCGAAGAGCCAGCGCTGTCCGAAGACGTTTCCGTTGTCATGTGGCCGGCATGACTAAACACCAAGGCCCACAGAACGCTGTTACCTTCCCACCGAAGTGGTACCTATTTATCTACTTGCAATTTCTTGCTTTCGAACTGCTAGGTTGGCAGAAGCTGGAACTAGAGATGGGAGCTCACTCCATCATGTGGCACACTCGGGTCTCGAACTGCTGTACTACTGACCTTCCACAGCCTGCAGTTCAGCGTCTTAACCACTTGAGCCACCGCAGTGATTATCAAGTGAGATAATCAGACCCCAATTAACAAACTCTAGTAATTACATCAGGCTGTCTTTTGCTCCCCTATCCTAGCCCACAAAGCTCCCTTTCCTATCCCTCTTGGCATGTCCTTTTATCTCTTCCTG